CCTGAAGATGTAAATTGCTACAGAATCCAAGATTGTTGGCACATGCACATCCGTGAATTCAACCAGGTTCATGAACCAGCAAATCTCCCTCAACATTTTCCGTGTTGTTGAAGTGTGCATGCGCGGGCGCCACCCATCAACGTGTGACCTGATACCTAGAGGTCCGGTGAGAACACGCCTTTCCTTGAATATAGGCATGCTTACAAAATTGTTCAACCTATACCTCCCAAAGCTCTTCCTCATACACAGCTAATGCACACTCGTACTGATATAATTTTATTTATCCCTATGTGCGCGTAAAAAACATATTTTTCTGTGTATATTAATACGTGATCCGCATTAGTTATGCACGTGCGCACTTATAGGAAGTGGTGTTAAATGTGGGGTAGCTCTAGTTTTCCTATCATATAATATAAATCTCTACGTGCATACCTTATGTGTTGAAGCATCTGTTTACAGTTTGAAAAGAATGTAAAGAAGATAACATGTAAACACATAAATAGTAGCTGGATTCCAGGTGTTACGAACTGGTTTCACTTCACTTATAGGAAACCTTGAGTCGTTTCTTAAGCAGAAACACTGAGGGACTTCCTCGCCACACCACCTTCCCTCGTCAACCATTCAAAGCGCTCCATCGACGTGGACTCACTCAGTTCATGAACTCCTCGGGCCAAAGCTGCATCGATCTCGAAAAGCAAAACGAATCTGACCGTCCATTTGATAAGGAACACCATGCTCCATGGAGATTTTCCGAGGTGTAGGCATACACTCGCACACTACCGCATCGCACATTCGCATGACATGGAGGGACAGGAGCAGTGTACACAGAGTATCCCAGTGACTCGCAGAAGCGAATTGTGGCTGCTCATACTGCCGGTGAGACTATTTCTTGCAACACTGATTGCCATTGTCTGCGTGACGTTTGATTCCCTGACGTCTGGCACGTACAATTGTCCTTACCACCCACCAGCGATCGACCTGCTCCTGCAGGTCTCCCGTTGCTCCGCGCGTCCCGCGTTACATGCTCTGCTAAAAGGCCTCACCAGAAGGCTGCTCTTGCCATCTCCACTACCTTACTAGCCACCGCGACGGCCGCTCTTCCGTCCGTCGCCGCTGTAGAGACCATTTTAGGAGGCGAGGGAACCAAGCTGCCTCTAGGCCTGAGCGACAATGACCAAACATGGGTCGTTGCTGGGGTGTTCACTGCGGTCTGGGCTCTTTTCTTTGTGTACCAGAACAAGCTTGCTGAGAAGGACGACGACTCTGGCCTTGGTTTGTAAATAATGTACCGTAGTTTTATCTGAATAAGTTTCATACAGTATATGAGGAAGGATTTCTCTTTCCAACCCCGAATCCCCTTTCCTCCCCCTCCACCTCTATATTCGGGCTTTGCAATGCTCTGTCAAAATCATCGTGAGTCATTCCAGTACTCGGCCTCTTTGTTGTAAATATCTACGGGAACCGGTAGCATTCTTGGTACTCTGCCAGAAATTCACAGTTGCATCACGAACAAACCTGTCAAAAAGTGCCTGGGGAACATCAAAGGCAGCGTCATTGAGCCTGATTGACATGTCCTCTTGATTCAGCCTTCTCACACACCCAAAGGCAACCTGATCACGGGAGAAACAAGAGGCAGGGCAGGAAGGGGGAGAGCGGAGGGAGGGGAGTGGAGGGGGGGAGAAGGTGGCAAAGCAATGGTTATGAGTTAAGAAGGCAAATGGAGTGCTGCTGTGCAGGTCCATAACGAGGCCTAGAAGACACAAGCAATGAACAAAAAGAGAATAGGGCTGAAGAACGGTTGAACACACAGGGTGGGTCTACAGTTTACCAGTCAATGGGAGGTTGGTTGTACCTTGCTATACAATTGAAGGAGAGTCTGGGAGAGAAGGGGAGGAGGGAGGCCTAGAGGCAGCAGCAGATGAATGGCATGGGAGACAGAGGGTATGTGCAGGTCGCGCGCCAAACGCTCCCATTCCTCAGGGGACACGAGAGAGGCTCGGGTGGAGGTTCGGGAGGAAGGGAGAGGGTGAGTGAGGGAGGAGGAGGGAGCAGCGGAATCAATGTGCGGAATGGAGTCGTATCTGATGCTCTCTAGGGAGCATGCATGCACCTGGAGGCGGGGAGAGAAAGGTAGGAGGAGGAGGGGATGAGAGAGAAGGGAGGGGAGAGAGTGGGGATGGCAGGGAGAGAGACCAGTGGGGAAGTGGGAGAGAGAGGTGGAGAGGAAGGATATGAAGTTAACGGTGTGCGGATCACGTGTGGTATGCAGAGCGGAGAAATGACAACAGCAGCAAGATTTGCTGCAACTGCAAAAAAAAAGTCAACTTGCGATGAAATCGACAAACTGGACCAAAGTGGTGGCTGGCAGCTTCTCACCTGCTGCACAAAAACAGACGCTTCCCCAGTAGCCCTCGCATGCTCCCGTGCCACCTGTGCTGCTCGCCCTGTTCCACACACGTACTGCTGGAACAGCACAGCCGCAGCAGCAGCTGCTGTACTGCTGCTGCTGCTGCTGCTGCTGCTGCTGCAAGCAAGCAGAGGGTTGGTGAACGGCTGAACGTTGTTCCGAAAAGCTGCTGTTGCTGCTGCTGCTGCTGCGTCGAAAGTCCGTGCCGCCTGTGAAGAAAGGAGAGAAGGATTTATAATGCATGAGCTGCCGTTGCTGGTTGACGCACGTCCCGTGAGCGCGTAGCAAGCATTGAGGGTGATACGCCTGTTAGTTTTGCGCCTCAAAAAGAAAGAAAATAACAAAAAACGGTGAGAGGTGAAAGGCTGAGCTGAATGAAGAAGAGTTTTCGAGCTGGCAACCAGAAAGCTCGAGTTTAACACATCATTGCACCTTGCCCACCTGCTGCCGCTCCTCCTTTTGCTCCTCCTGCCGCTTCTCCTGCTGCTGGTGCAGGTGCTGTGGCTGAGTAGGCTCCTCCAGCATGAGATGGCAAACGTGGAGGAAGGATCGAGCAGCACGCAGGTAGGGATTGCTGACCAGCGCCACTTTGCGCCACTGCCCACTCGTTAACAACCACAGCAACGCGTCCTCCTCCCTCTCCTCCGCCCCCTTCTCCTCCCTCTCCTCCTCCTGCTCCGTTTTCTCCCCAGCCTCTCTTGCCTCCCTCTGCCGGCCTTTATCCTCTTCGCCAGCGTTATCGACCCCCAAATCATCGGATACAGATCTAACAGCAGCAGCAGCGGCATTGGCAGCCTGCGAGCGTGTGTATGTGCGCATGGCTGAGGCGAGGCTAGCCCAGGATATACCAGCAGGCGGGGTGTCCACAGAGCATACCAGTGCACGAGATGATGCTGGGACAGGGAGATTTTGGGGGGTTGGAAGGCACGGGACAGGGCGACAAAGAGAGTGGGGAGTGGGGCGTGGGAAGGTGGAGGGGGGAATGACGAGTTTTTAATCGGAAACGTTGATCAATGCGATAGTGTGACCGGATGAACATGGTTGGATGGACTGGCATGGTCCAATAACCACGGCTTGTGTTTTGGTGACACACAAAAGGCAGAGGGGGCAACAACAGCACAAGGAACGAGGTCCTTTAGTTAGCACCAGGGACAGGCGACATTCAGAAGTCTCACAACACAAACCTTGGAATTGCGAGTATTGCACCAAGGGGAGAGAATGCACTGGGACCGGCGGCAGCGCGAGCGGGTGGCAGAGAGGCGAGGAGGCGAGGAAGGAGCCTGAGAGGGACGACGCCTGAGCCTGGATGAATGCGGAGTCTCCGGAATGGTAGGCGAATATGAGATACTGTGCCTGGGCTGCTGTCAAGAGAGCTGAAAGCTGAGGGGTTTCTGGGCGGGAGGGAGTGGTGGCATGGGGGGGGGGGGGGGGGGGGTTGAATGGGAAGAGGAGCGCAGGAAGAAAGGGCGGAAAGAGGAAGGAGAAGGGGGGGTAAGGGGAGGGGAGATTGAAAAAATGGATACGAAAGGAGGAGGTTTGGAGGAAGACAGGTTGTTTGAGTTGAGAGGCGGTACAGATCGAGGAGGAGTGGGGCAGAGAGAGGCTGCAGAGAAAAGAGAGCGTGTGAAAAAAGAGGCTAGAGAGAACATCGAGAGAGGATTGAGAAAGAACGCAAGGCAGCGGAAGAAAAGACATCTGAGAGCTCACAATTTGGGGGGAAAGAAACAGAACAGAAACACTGCACCTTGCCCAGTAACCCAGTTTACATGCTCTAAACTGGATCGGGACAGGACATTACAGAGTACTGAGCGAAAAGAATGCGCTGTTGGTGCTGTACGTATGCCCTTCTCCCCTCCTCGCCCTCTGTTTCTCCGTCCCATCGATGAGCGTTTCCCTTGAACTTGAACCACCTCTGCTTCCACCACCACCACCACAGCGGCTTATGCCCGCGCAGTGGAAAGCGGGGACGAGCAGGATACTCATGCTGCTGCTGCTGCTGCTGCTGCTGCTGCAGCTGCGTTTGCCCCTTGTGCTTGGGCGGTCCCTGTAGAAGAAGTGCTCGCATCTCATCCTCTCTCACTCCCCTCCGCTGTAGAAACAGCCGTCCAGATGGAGACAGCACTGCAGGACAACAACACACATCACCACCTGCCCCTGCTGCTCCTTCAGCTCCTCCCCCTCCTCCTGCTTCTCCTCCTGCTTCTCCTGCTGCTGCTGCTGCTGCTGCTGCTGCTGCTGCGAATGTTGCATCTGCAACTCCAACCGTGGGCAACCTGTGCAGTCCAAGCCCATCCCCAGCACATGGAAACGCCAAGCTCCCTTCGAAACTAACCCTCTCCTCCTCATACCCTGCAGCAGCAGCACCAGCAGCACCACCACCACCATCACCGCCTATACTATCATCTTTCGTGCCTTCAGCCCCCTCGCCTTCTCCTTCCTCCTCCTCTTCCTCCTCTTCCTCCCCATCCTCCCAGTTCCCCCCCCTATCAACAACCTGATCCACCACCCTGCCGCCCTCAACAACCACTGGACCCCTTTCCAACAAGTGGCCCTTGAAAGCTCTCGAAAGAAAGTCATGAAAGGCATGCATTCTGTGCCCTACCAAACGGTTATTGTGCGTTCTTCTTGAAAGCGGCCCACGCTCACTCTTCTCCACCAAGCCTCCACGCACGAGACTCCACTGTAGCTGCGACGCTAGGAGCAGGGAGATGCGGGGTGGAGCGCTCTTGTGCACCTGCTGCTGCTGCTGCTGCTGCTGCTGCTGAGGCTGTATGAGCACTTGCTGCTGCTTCAACTGTGGTCCATGAATCGCCTGCTCCTCTCGCATCACCTCTCCCTCTCGCTCACTCTCTTTTGCTTTCTCAGCTTTCTTCTCCCTAACCTTTGCTTTCTGATTGTCATCCTCCTCATCCTCATCCTCCTCTTCCTTCTCCTCCTCCTTCTCCTTCTCATCCTCTGATTCCTGCTGCAGCCCTCTACGCACCCTCACACCGCCTTGCATCTGCTTACCACCTTCCCCTCCTCCTGCTCTGGCATGTGGTTGCTGTGAGTGTTGTGGCAGGAGCTGCTGTAACAGTGTCCTCTCACTTTTATTCCCCGTGGTGCCTTCTTCTCCTTCTCTTGTGTGTGCATCCTGTGACTGCTGCAGCAGCAGGCGCTGCTGCTGCTGCTGCTGCTGCTGCTGTTGCTCGAGGGCAAGAAGCAGCGCCGGTGGCGGATGGGAGAACACAGACGTCAGGCGCCATGCCGCCTTCAAAACACTGCCACTGCTGCTGTCGCTGCCACTGCTGATACCACTGCTGCTGCCACTACCGCTGCTGCCACTGCTGCTGCTGCCACTGCCACTACTGCCGATACCACCATCGGCAGCAGCAGCAGCAGCAGCATGAGTGGCGGCAGCAAGCACAAAGCGAGCACGGGGGTTCATGAGCATGCGCTGCCCCAAGGCCCTCTTCACACACTCCTCCACCGACCGGCTCCCCCGACACGCAGGACACGTGGCGGCTCCTGATTGGCTGCTTGAAGGCTGGGGAGGCGAGAGAGGGATGTGGAGGGCGGAGAAGAGAAACGAGGGGGGTTGGACATTGACGTGGGCTGAAATCTCAAATTCCAATCGACAGAGTCGAGTTTTGAGTCGACTAAAAAAACGAGGGGGGTTGGACATTGACGTGGGCTGAAATCTCAAAGTCCAAGTCACTGGAATCACTGGAATGACCGGTTGGAGGGTTCTTGACAAGCCTTGTGTAGCGTGGGCTGAAGATGGCGGGATTGCAAATTGCAAATCGCCCTAGATAGATGTTCGGCTTATTGAGGCTGTTGGTGCCGAAACGTCTCAAGTTTCGAGACATCTCACGACGACGCAGACATGCTTGCAGATGCGAGATGTGCTCACCGCCCCCCACACACACACCCACCTGCAAGAGCACAGCAGCACTGCGCCGCACGAGCGTCTTGAGCCTCTCCCGGGCGACCATGGCCGCAACGGGGGGAGAGGGGCGCAAGCGAGCCAGGCAAGCTGTGAAGTGCTGCTGCAGGTGGCACTGGGGAAGGGGGGACTGCGGGAGTGCAGGAAACAGGGAAGAGAGGGAAAGGGACAGTAGGGGCGGAGAGGTTAAGTGGGAGGATGGAGCGGAGAAAAGGGGGGAGTGAAGGGGAAGCGGGGAAGGGGGGAGCTCTTGAGGGTTGCTTCTAGAATTAAGAAAATAAAAGAAAAGAAAAACAACGAGAGAGAAATGAGAAACAAAAATCGCTCAAGAGTACAGAGGACTTAGCGTGCGGAAAGAATTGCTTTGGCAGGTACTGGTACTGGCTAGCGAGACGTGACAAAGAGCTTGGCTAGTCACTTATACGCACACATAGAGCCGGTATGAAAAAGAGGGGGAGGGAACGTGTTTTAGAGCTCACACGCCCTTACCTTCGAAAGCAGCTCTGACTGTTTACTCGTGTGCACGAGCAGCAGCAGAGAGTCAAACACACTGGACAGCCATGCATGCATGTGCTGTTCACTCCCTGCTGTCCCACCTCTCTCCATCCCTCCACTCCCCACCCCTCTGCTGCTACCCTCTCCTGAGGCCTCTCCATGCCCCCTCTGCGTTTCAGAGGCAGTGCTACTCGCACTGATGCTGCTGCTGCTGTCTCCTGTGGGTGTGCCAGGCCACTTACTGGAGCAGGGAGATGATTGAACCTGTGTGCCATGCCACGCAACGTTGTGCCATATCATGCCATGCCACGCCATTCGATACCAAGCCATGTTGCATGGGCGGAAGGGATGAGATTGCTGTCACGCTATGACCATGATGCACAGGCTTGTCAAAGGACTTGTGCATGTGAATGTGCATGTGCAGCATCGCCCAAATTTGAAAGCCATTAGCTACTTGCCCATTAACCTTCCTACACACCGTACCACACCACACCACACCACACCACAACAGCAACCACTTACCTTGACACGAGTGAACTGCGCTGGTAGTGCTTCAAACACCCCCCCACCTGCCCATCCCTCATCACCCCACGGCCCTGCTTTTGCCTCATCGCCCCACCTTCCTCTTCCTCCTCCTACTCCTCCTCCTTCTCCGCCTCCTCCCTTCCCTCCTCTTGCTGCCGCTCCTACATTTCCTGTTCCAGCTCCTACAGGAGGCCAATCAATGACTGCCACGTCACCCACTCGGCCATCGAACAGATCGGAGAACCTGACGCCCTCCATCTGCTGGTAGCTCCTCTCGTTATAAGCACAGGACGGGCTGGAAAACCCTTCTCTGATGCCACTCCCTTCGCTTGTATCACGGCTATTGCTGAGCCTGCCAAGACTGCTTGTATCCCTGCATCTGCTGCTGCTGGTACCACTGCTACCACTATCACTACTGGTGGTGCCCGTGGTGGCACCGGCATTGGCAGCAGCAGGAGCTGTCGCACTAAAAGCAGCAGCAGCAGCAGCAGCAGCAGCAGCAGCAGCAGCACCGGTAGCAGCAACGGAAGCACCAGCAGCATCACCAGCAGCAGCTGCAGCAGAAGTTGACCAGATGACTTGCAGTGTGAGGTGTGAAGTCACAGCCACAGCATCACATGCACACATGGAGAGCAGGCGCGCAGAGAGAGAGCCCTGCTGGGCGCAAGGGGCACAGTGCACGGGGCACAATGCACGGACGGGGCACAGCACACGGCGGAAGAGATTGCGAGCGAGTTCTTAGAAATTGCAAAAATCGCATGGGGCAAAAGGTGGGGGTTGCGAGGGGGGGGGAGGGGGCGGGTTGGAGTTGAAGGGAGAGAGAGTGAGGAGGAGGTGCTCCATCCATCCTACAAGTGAGCTGCTTCTAGCTAGTCACATCAGCCCGACCAGGCGATCTTCCTCCATCCAACGGACGAACGAACAGACGAACGAGCAGACGGACAGAAAGACAGGCACGCACGGGATGGAGTCACTAATGAGATGAGAGCTCGATAATGTGTGACTCACGCACGCATGAGATAAGATGAGTCACACTCTCGAGAGTGACTCGTGCAACGGCTCACCTCGGCCACAGCGACCGTACCAGCCGAACCAGGTGACTTTTGAGGCTGGACACCTGAAAAGTCACCTGAACTCTGGCCTCAAAAGTCACCATGTAACGGCTCACCTCAGCCACGGCGATCATATCCGTCGTCATGGGCGGGAACGGGCTCCTCTCGCGACGCGGCGCCGTCTCCGCGCCCTCGCACCGCGCTCTCTCCCCGTCTGCGCTCCCCCGTTCCCCCTCCTCCTCCCGCGCATCCCCATCGCCTTTCATGCCCGGTATACTGGGCGCTGCTTCGTGCCGCGCCGCGCCTCCATCGTCCATCTCCCTGCCTGCCCGGTATCCTACCAGCAGGACAACCATGGCTGACGTCAGCGATAAGACGAGAAGGATCGCGGCGATCCGTCGCCGGCGACCTGGAGCTCGTCGCAGCAGCGGTCGCATGACGGCGACGGACGATTGTCGCATTCCGCAACGGCTTCCGCATAACGCGGGAAAGAGTCGCCTGCTGGAAGCGCAGAGCAGGCGGTCAAGCTACGAAAGCAAGTGTCGAAGCACGTGGAAACTGGATCAAATCCTCTGGTCTGTATTTCGCCGGTCTTCGCCTATTCGTTTCAAAGTCCAGGCACCTTGAACCTTGAACTCCCATTCCATGTGGTCAGCACTCACAGCTTCCAGTGCGAACTCCAGCAATTACGGCCAGGATTGGGCTGCTCAATTCAACTATGCAAAGTGGTTTCATCGAAGTCACAAGATGCGAAGTGAGTACGAAACTCCTCCACGTCTACTGTACTGGAAGTATCGTTGCGGTCGACGGCTTTTTCTAGGTGTCACTTGACTGATGTTTTGCTCCAGGAACACGGTTTCAAACCTCGGTATGAAGACGTGCCTCCTCTATTAAGTCATTCGTTTCAATCTTTCTTCCATCTGTTTGTAAAGTTTCCTCAAGTATATCTCGCACTTGTTTGTCACCTCCACCCTCGATTCCACAACAATAGAGGTCCATAACACTCTCGGATTACAGCCTCGCCGCAGCAACACTACTGTTCATAGATTTCGACGAAGGCTGATCCATGAGGCTGGCATTTATCTGCATTGCTTTGTCGCATGATGCAGGTCTGACGTGCGCAACAGCATGTTCCGTCGACGACAACTCGTGGATTCCGTGAGACGAAAGTACTAACGGCCTAGCTTTTCCCACGCCGCTCTTTTCGATACATCTCTAAAGTCGTCCAATTTCGAGAGGCGAAAGTGCAACCTTTTAGAATCGACCAGGTTCCGAGGCCGAATGCTTTAATCGGGTCGCGATAGTCGTGTATATCGTCGTATTCATATTGCCATGCTCACTCCCTCGCATCCGCCTATTGTCTAGGCGTGGGAATACGCTCTAATTTATCGCACTGGATTATCTTAATTAGCAGCTTCGGCCGTTTCTTCGCAATCGCCTCCGTTCCGAGTCACTTGTGCTTCTAGTCTCCTTTTCTCCTCTGCGCGGGCGATTTCTGAGTTTCCTCAAAACTCATGCTCTCCGCTTCTTATTCCGACTGACCTTCCGGAGGTTCCTAACTTGCGTCACCCCGCAGGCGCGGGAAGGCAGCGTGCGCGGATTAGGCTTGCGCGGATACTGTCCGTGCGCGGAGAGTGAGATCGGCGCGCGCGGGGTGCATGCGCGGAGAGAAATGGCCACTGCTGTGCGGAACAGCAGCGGGGGAAGCGGCGGAGGGACCGCTGGCCGGGGCGACGGCGCAAGCAGAGGGCGCGCGGGCGTCAGGGGGAAAGCGGCACTGGGCGGGCGGAGCGGAGAGCAGGGGGAAAAGTTGCGCGTAGCCGCTGGGGAAGGGAGCGCGCATGGCGCAGGGGGAAGGGGAGATAGAAGCAGGGGGAGGGGAACAGGGGCGAGCGGAAGGGTTGGGGGGCGAGGGCGGAGAGCAGAAGAGCCAGTCCGGGGGAAGGAAGTGATTGGGGAGAAACAGAAGAGAGTCGTTTCCGCACAGGAGGAGCGTGAGGAGACAAGGGGAAGAGCTGAAGGTGATAGCGTTGCGGAACGTGATAGAGTAGCTGAAACGGAGACCGAAGGGGCACAGACAGAGGAGGTGGGGGTGGCAAGGGCGAGTGGTAACAACAGCAGTGGGGATAGGGCTGCGAGAGAGCCTGCGATTGGTCTGGATTCGTCTCAAGAAGCGTCTAGGTTCACTGAATGTGGGGTTTCGTTGGGGTGTGAGACGGTCGCAGGTGGTGCAGAGGTAGGGACGGAGGGGCTGGGATGCCAGAGAGAGGGGGAGGTGGGGGAGGAGGGGGTGGAAGAGTGCGGGGATGACGCTGCATCATTGGGAATGGGACGAGGAGAGGGTGGGGATGGGAGTGTGGAGAGAGGAGGGGAGAGGAGAGGAGGGACGGAGGCAGGGGAGGGAGCAGATGAGGGAGAAGGAGGAAGGGGAGAGGGGGAAGGGGAGGAGGATGTTGGGAAGGCGCGTGGAAAGGAGGAAGCCAGGGGAAAAGGCGAAGGTGAGGAGAAGATAACAGGCAAATCAGTTAGCAAGGGAGCGAATGAGGGAGTGAGTGAGGGGGTGCTAGTGGGAGTGAGTGCACATGAGGCTGGGGGGCTGAGAGTTGAAGAGGGTTCAAACTGGGTGGAGGGGGACAGAAGGGAAATCGGGAATGTAACACAGGCAGAAGGCGTAGGGGAGTCTGAACAGAGAGTAGAGACGAGAAAGTCTGCAGGAGAAGAAGAAGGGAAGGAGGGATCATTAGTGCCTTATCCAGTATCAATAGAAAGGGCGACAGTTGCAGCATGTGCGGCAGTGGAAGAAGGGGGTGATGCAAGTAATGCTGCTCAGAGTGGTGCGGGGAGTGCTACTAGGAATGGTGGTGGGAGTGGTGAGGAGAGTGAGCAAGGGAGAGAGAAGGAGAGTGAGAAGGGGAGTGGGAAAGAGAGGCCAGTCAAAATTGGAAACACGTATTCACTGATACAGCAACAGCAGCAGCAGCAACAGCAGAAACAGGAACAGCAGCAGCAGCAGCCGGTGCAGCATGTTCTAGGTGGTGTGGCAGCAGCAGGAATCTCACGAGAGCAGCAACAGACGCTTGTGCTGCAACAGGGGCAGGCACAGGCACAGGCACATGCACATGCACATGCACAGGCGCAGGCGCAGGCGCAGGCACAGGCACAGGCACAGGCACAGGCAGCCACGGCAGCGAGTGCATCTGCAGCAGCAACAGCAGCAGTGATGCATGGGTGGTCTGAACGATGGAGTGAGCTGGCCACACTCAGGGCCGACAGGTGTGTGCATTGGTGCATGTGTGCGTGTGTGTGCGCGCGTTTTTGTGCGTGTTTGTGCGCGCACGTGTGTGCGTGTGTGTGCGAGTATGCATCCGTGCATGTGTGCGCGTGCGTGTGTGTGTGCATGCATGCTTCGATAATGCGTGTTGGTTGTTGCACTTTCCGTCTCCTTCCTCCGCCCTCCCCCTCCCTCCCACGTCCTCCCTTCCTCCACTCATCACCTACCGCAAGCTAAGCTTTTCACTGTTCTTCTACAGTCGATTCAAATCCTTCATTTCTACACTGAGCTTAACCTTTCTCTTTCTTTCTTTCTCTCTCTCCTTCCGCACTTCACACTCTCAGGAGTGCAACGGAGGAGCAACTAGCAGCAGCGAGCTCTACCCTCACCACGTGTCTGCATCGCTTCCTTTGCACCTGCTGCGTTTTTTATCCGATTCAAAAAGAACCCGCTCGTTTTCTCTCCCTCCCCTTGGCACCCCAGGAGTGCCACGGAGCAGCAGCTAGCAGCAGCGAGCGCCACGCTCACCACGTGTCTGCGTCTCTTTGTCGCCTGCACCTGCTTCTAGTCTTTGGCGCCCCAAAATCGTCTCACTTCCCTCCTGCTCCCGCGCTCACAGGAATGCCACGGAGCAGCAGCTAGCAGCAGCAAGCTCCACGCTCACCACGTGTCTGCGCCGCCTGCACCTGCTGCGCCGCAGGGAGGACCAACTACTGCTCGACCTGCGCCTGTGCTCCGCCTCCTCTCCCCTGGTGAGCTCTCTTCGTTCCATGCCGCACCTCTGCTTGCGCCTCTGCTCACCTGCTGCGTCGCAGGGAGGACCAACTACTGCTCGACCTGCGCCTCCGCTCCGCATCCTCTCCCCTGGTGAGCCGCTGTGCCGTCCCTTTGCTCACCCCTCCCCCCTCTTGATTCGACCCAAACGTCACCTCGTTTCACCAGCTTGCTTGAACGATGCTCACGATTTACACTCCATGAAGCTTGATTCTCATCTCCCGCTTGATGCAGCTTGATACTCAAGTCTTCCCTGTCCCTCTTGTCGCGCAATACACTCTGGTTCTCTGTTTCATCCACATGTTTGACTGCCGTTCATTCCATCGACATTTGCCTTTTGCCCCCCATCCACGTACGTCCCGTCTCCGTCTTTCCTTTGTGCGCGCATTTCATTTCGCCAGCTGGCGGGGGCACCTTATGCCGCTGCAACTCACACTGCCCCGCCCGCACATGCTGCACCAACGGCACCTGCGGCAGCAGCAGGAGGAGGAGGAGGAGGAGGAGGGTCCAATTTCCAGTCTCTCTTAGCTGCAGTGAAGGGTGAAGAGGTGCAACAGCAGCAGCAGCAACAGCACCCTGTGTTGGAACAAGCATTGTCATTCTCAGCATTAGCAACAGCAGCACCAGTACCACCAGTACCACCAGCACACCCGTTTGGGTCCCACGAGCCTCACCATTCTCAACCACACCAGCAGCAGAGGTCCTCCTCATCCACTCTCAGGGCAGGACCCCTGGCCCCTCTGTCCATTCCCCCCCGCCCTCCCCTTCGCTCCCACGCCAGCAAGAAGGCTGCTGTTGCCTCTGCTGCTGCGGAGACTGGTGGAGGGGTGGGAGTGGGAGGAGGTGCAGGACGAGGGGAAGGGAAAGGAGGGGTGACAGGTGGAGATGGAGATGGAACGATGGAAGGAGGAGAGGGTGGTGGTGGTGTGGCTTCGACTGTTCCTCCTGCTGCTTCTGTTGAAGGAACAGAAAGTGGACTTGCGATTGCTGCTGCTGCAGCTTCCACTGCCATGGCTTCTGGTCCTGCTGCTGCTCCTGCTGCTCCTGTTCCTGCTGCTTCCACAGCTGATCTTAAAGCAGTTGACACTGCCACATCTGCAGCTGCCACTGCTACTTCTGCTACTTTCTCAGCAGCAACGCGAGCAGCAACACAAGCAGCACCTGCCACTGCTACTGCCACCGCAGCTGCAGGTGCAGCACCACCAGCCACAGCAGCAGCAGCAGCAGCAGCAACATCACCAGCAGCAGCCGCAGCAGCAGCCACAGGAGGGCAGGTGGTGGGATCGTTATGGGATTCCCCTCGAGAGGTGGTGGTGAGGTCTGTAACGGCCCGCGATGCCAGCATATCCACTGTGCTCCACTCTCTAGACGCTGTCAGACGCCAGGTTGCGTGCTCCTTCCGCCTCGGGGCAGCAGCAGGGCAGCACATTGCAGGCGGAAAGCACCTTGCAGGGGCAGCAGGGCAGCACAGGGCGTCAGGGGCAGGGGCAGGGGCAGGGGCAGGGGCAGGGGCAGGGATGGTGCAACAAGGGCTGTTGCCGACTGGTGTTTCAGGGTCAGGGAGGGTGGGGGTTCGATCCAGAGGGAGTGCTCTCAGCTCTCCTGTGCACCAGGAAACGTCGAGAGGGGGGTTGGGTGGGAGTTCGGGAAGGGGAGGGGGTAAAGTAGATGGGGAAAGGGGTGATGGTGGTGGTTCTCGTGTGGGTAAGACAGGAGTTGAAGGGGAGGGGGGTGGTGGAGGAGGAGGTGGGGTTGAAGGATTCGCAGGTGGGACAGTAGCAGCAGCAGCAGCAGCAGCAGCAGCAGCAGCAGGGGTGGCAGGGATGGCAGGGATGGCAGGGATGGCAGGGGTTGGGAGTGGCAGTGATGGGCGTGCTGTTGTGCCCCATGACGTCCATTCAAACCAACTGGTTGCATCTTCTGCTGCCAATGCCAATGCCAATGCCAATGCCAATGCCGCCCCTGTCGTGGCTGCTACTGTTTCTGCTGCCGGTGGTGGCGACGCTGGTGTAATTGGTTCTGTTCAAGACCGTCCTGGTTCAGCGATGGGAGAAGGTTTCTCCGTTCTTGACCCACCTGTACCTCCCATGCCTCCTCACACCCCGTCAGCGGCGGCAGTAATGGCAGCAGCCGCATCAGCAGCAGCATCAGCATCCGCACCAGCAGCAGCAGCAACAGGAGGGGGAGGATCAGCAGGGCTAGCAGAATCAGCAACAGGAATAGCAGAACCACCTGCAGCACCTGCAGCAGCAACAGCAGCAGCAGCAGCAGCTGCAGGTACAGGTCTCTTCCCCAACCCCTCACCTTCTCCTACTCCCTCTATCCGCTCCCTTGGCCCCATCCCCTCCCCAGCATCCAGCGGCATCATCCCTCTCAACCCCTACGCACCGCACAACATCGCCATTCGCGCCATCAGCAGCGGGAGCTACCGTAGCTCCCCCTCCCCTTCCGCTCCCCGCTACATTGTCTCATCCCCCTCCCCATCTCCCATGGCCTCCTCCCCATTCCACTACACGCCAACTTCTGCCGGCCACTCCAAATCCGGCTCGCATTTCGCATATGGGAACCGGGCGTGGTATGGAGGGGGGCCCAATGGAACTCCCTCGGGATCGTCAGGGGCTGGAGGTGGCAGTAAGAGTAACACGACTGCCACCACCACTCCCACCACCACCAACAGCACCACTGGGTTTTCTCCTGACGGCCTCCCTGCGCTCCCTCCTTTTCTTCCTTCTGAGTACTTTGTTGCTACACTGGGTGTAGATCCTAATGTGGATTTGAGAGAAGATGTGAATGGGGGTTTTACTGGAGAGTATGGGTTTGATGCACTGATGTTTGAGGCGGGTGGAGGAGCTGGTACTATGTTTGATGCTTTAGCATCTGCGGCTGCCCCTGCTGCTCCTGATGGTGCAACTTCTGCTGCTGCTCCTTCTGCTAGTGTTGCATCAACTGCTGCTGCATCTGTTGTGGCTGCTTCAACGGCTGCTAGCAGTCTCACAGCTACCAATGCTGCGCCTCAAGTTGCTTCCATCCTATCACAGTCTTCACATCCCTTGGATGTGTCCTCTGCTGCAACAACTGCTGTACCTCCTGCGTCTGCTCCAGCTAATGCTACCTCTATCAACCCAACCAACACCACCATCAAGACCACCACCACCGTCCCTCCAACCGACACCACCATTCCTGGATCTCTCCCTTCCAGTTCCTCTTCCCGGTCCTTCCATCAACCTCCCTCCACCGTCACACCATCCTTGGAACGCTTTCACTCTCCCCTGCTGAACACCCTACAGGGAGTCCTTGCTCGCACTTCTATCCGCTCAGACTCACCCACACACCTTTCCGGACAACACTTGGCAGGCGCAACAGGAATAGACGGCGGCAGTGGTACAGGCTTGCACGCAGCTAAGCACAAGAACCAATTCCACCCCAACACCACGAGCGCCAGCGCCATTGGCTCTAGCAGCAGCGCCAACACCGGTAGCAGCAGCAGCAGTAACAGCACTGCTGTGGGCGTTCAGGAGGGGCATGGGTCCGCATATTTCTGGAACCCTGCAGAGTCTAGCACACGTGGAGCTGCCATGGCAGAATCTGACGCCTTTGGATTTCTCTCCTCGCACTCCCTGCTGCCACCAGATGCATTCGCCCATACCTTCCCGCATGCAGGCCCGTTAGAAAAGGGTGGTGGTGGCGCTGGCAGCGGCAGCGCCGGTGTTGGCAGTGGTGGCGGCAGCAGTGGCGGTGGTAATGGCGGTGGTGGCCTGGGTGGAAGCTCCTTTGGTGGGGCATGTGAGGCAGGCATGATGGGTGATCTGATGGGTTTTGACATCTTTAGTGGTATGATGACACGTGCTGTAGGTTTGGCAGCACCTGAATTCCCAGACGCACTAGGAGAAGCAGGAGCAGGAGCAGGAGCGGAAGCAGGAGTGGCAATGACAGCAGCATCAGGTGGAGCAGGTGGAGAAGCAGGAACAGGCACTGCCACAGGGGGACCTTCGTTCGGGCTGCATGCTTTTCCATTAGATCTCAATTTACTCTTCAACATGCCAGGTGCTGCTGCAGCTGCCCCTTCCCCACCTGCTGCTTCCGCTGCCATGACTGCTGCTACTGGCCCACATGCTCCCACCCCCTCTGCTCCTGCAGTGGCTGCTGATACACTCTCCTCCTCAGCACATCGCATGCCTCCTCCTCCTACTGTGCTTCCTCCTTCGTCCTCACAACCCTCTCTGGCTGCTCCGCAGTCTGGCATGTATGCTGACAACATGGCCGTCACTTATTTGAATCCCCTGAATTCAGGGTTTCATGCCATACCTGGGGGCATGGGAATGGCCATGGGCATGGGCATGGCAGAAGGAGGGATGGGAACAGTGGGTGAAAGGATAGGAACGGCAGAATGGGGCATGGGGACGAGCAGTGCAGCAGTGGGCATGGGTATGGAGAGCAGGCTGGGTGCACCATGGGAGCACATGCAGCCCATGCCGGGGCAGCAGCAGCGGCACCAGCAGCAGCAGTACCAGCAGTACCACCAGCAGCAGCAGCAGCAGCAGCAGCAGCAGCAGCAGCAGCAGCAGCAGCAGCAGCAGCAGCAGCAGCAGCAGCAGCAGCCGCAGCCGCAGCCGCAGACAGTTTTTCACCTGCCATTCGAGCCATCTCAGCAGCATCACGCGCACACTGCAGGAGCGGCATCAGGAGGGTTTATGCACCCGCGCCAGGCACCCATGGGTGTCATCATGCACGTGCATGTGCCCAGCTCCACACATGCCTCCTCCACCAATGATGGCGCGTCAGAGAAGGGCGGCGGCGGCGGCGGCGGTGGCGGTGGTGGCAGCGTTGTGGGGGGGCAGTGGAGCACGCCCTTCACTCCTTGATCTGTGCACCTGTGAATCTGTGCGCATGTGTAACATGTTTCAGCCATATTTCAGTCATGGTTTTGGCTCGGTTTTCTCTGCTGGTCTTACCGCGGCATTTTAATCTGATGACTTCTGCACACTTCCATTTGCATATTTATTATATCTGACCTCTTTGTAGAATGTTCCGCTATCCTGGCACTACACATTTTTTAGCAAAATCATGCGTAGGAATATGACAACTGAGATTGAGAGTGACACCAATCACGAAGTGGCCCAAATTCTCTTGATTATCGGATGGGAAACATGCTGCTGCTGATGTGGCTAAGGTATGCTGTATTATAATTAAAGCAGCAGCAGTGTACATTTGGCAGGGCCAGTGCCAAAACTTTATAAGTGGGACTTGGTGGTAACCAAATTACAGGGCCACTCAACTGAAGTTGCCTTCCTTACATGCACAAATCTCTACAAGTGGTGGAGGGGCTCGGAATGTTCGCCAATACTCTCGCCAAGATGCTTCACTTTCACTGGCCCGAAATCGTATTGGGCACTGTACAACCTCCAACAGTCCTGCCCAATGTATACTGCTGCTTTAACAACACTAAACCCAAACTTGAATAACATTTTTAAATATATCATTATCGTGTGTTACGGTATCTGGCTACGGTGGATTTATTCGAATAACAATTTGTTTTTACGGTGTATATGGTCAATTCATTGTATACAGCATGTGCGGATGGATTAAGTTAAAGCTAGATGTTTTTGCCAAGTAATAGTTGGCCCGTTAGCCATGTTAAAAAGCGTTACAAATAGTGTAAGGAACTTCTACCTTGGGTATATTAGTAGAAGGATCAGGTGTAGCGAGAGACATTAGGTGCGAACGGCAGTCACTAGGGGATACGAGACGAGACGAGACAACACGACACGAAAATCTCCTGAGATCTTTTTTCTGCTGTTTTATTTTTAAAGCCGTGGTGCAGATATCCCGGCTCCAGTTCAAACTATTATAGTTTGAAAGCCGCGTAACCCAGTATACACAGGAAAGCGAGCAGGGAGAGGTTTCTGCCAGCGGGGGAAGGGCGTGCGGAAAAGTCCTTCGCAGTATGATGTGTGGGGGGGGAAACGGGGGAGGGCTCGGGGAAAAGCTCCGCTCAACGAGATGAGGGGGAGCGCAGGCAGCAAACTTGAAAATTCAAACTTGAACTCAAAACAACTCAAACTCGGCAAACTCTCACGCTTGAACTAGGTTCTTACTAACTTGAAGTAAGTTTCCCGAGCTACGCAGAGCCATTTCCGCTAAGATTTCTCGCGTTTCATGGTCTATTGATGTGCTCACGAATATCTGCGCAATTTCCTACCTCGTAAACACCTTTTTTGTCGTATTCGAAGCGCATTGCGCTCGTTTTCCTCCGTTGCCGTCCTTATTCCTCTCCCGCCCCTCCATTCCTCACGTATCTGCGGTAGCAAAGGCGCAACGGCAGCGACAGGCAGGAATGGGTGCGACGGTGGCGAGCAGCGGGGCGACGATAGCTAGATATCGGTGGTCGCATATGAGCAGCGGGGCGACGATAGCGAGCGGTGGGGCGACGATAGCGAGCAGCGGGGCGACGATAGCGAGCAGTGGGGTGACGATAGCGAGCACCAGGGCGACGATAGCGAGCACCAGGGCGACGATAGCGAGCACCAGGGCGACAATAGCGAGCAGCAGGGCGACGATAGCGAGCACCAGGGCGACGATAGCGAGCACCAAGGCGACGATAGCGAGCACCAGGGCGACGATAGCGAGCAGCGGAGCGAAGCATCTGTGCGACGGTGGCGAAGCATCTCGCGTCCCACCCTGTCACCTCCCGTCCCATCCAATTTCCCCCTTTCCAATGCCTCCCCCTTTCCGATCCCTTGCCCGATCCTCAGCATCAACTTCGCTTGGCCAGTGCCCTCCCTGTTTTCCTCTCCCTTTCCCCCTGTCCGCCTCTCCCTTTCCCCCTGTCCTCCTCTCCCTTTCCCCCTGTCCTCCTCTCCCTTTCCCCCTGTCCTCCTCTCTATTTCCCCCTGTCCTTCTCTCCCTTTCCCCCTGTCCTCCTCTCCCTTTCCCCTTGTCCTCCTCTCCCTTTCCCCCTGTCCTCCTCTCCCTTTCCCCCAGTCCTCCTCTCCCTTTCCCCCTGTCCTCCTCTCCCTTTCCCCCTGTCCTCCTCTCCCTTTCCCCCTGTCCTCCTCTCCCTTTCCCCCTGTCCTCCTCTCTATTTCCCCCTGTCCTTCTCTCCCTTTCCCCATGTCCTCCTCTCCCTTTCCCCCTGTCCTCCTCTCCCTTTCCCCCTGTCCTCCTCTCCCTTTCCCCCTGTCCTCCTCTCCCTTTCCCCCTGTCCTCTCCCTTTCCCCCTGTCCTCCTCTCTATTTCCCCCTGTCCTCCTCTCCCTTTCCCCCTGTCCTCCTCTCCCTTTCCCCCTGTCCTCCTCTCCATTTCTCCCTGTCCGCCTCTCCCTTTCCCCCTGTCGTTCTCTCCCTTTCCCCCTGTCCTCTCTCCCTCCCACCCTTCCTCCCCCTCTCTCACATCCCTTCCTTTCCTACTGTCCTCTCCCACCATTCACGCTTCTCTCAGCCATCCCTTTCCCCCCTCCCCTGTCCCTCGCTTTCCCCCACTACCGTCCCTTCCCTTTCCACTACGTTCTCTCGTCCAGCCCAGCCGACAGTACCAGCTTTGCTTGGCCACTGAAGGCTGTCTATCATATTTCAGTTTCCTTGCTCTCTTCAATTTCCCTACCTAACATTCTTCAATAATCTGCAACGTTTCCTTCCCTTCCCCACCTCCCCCCCCCCCCCCCCCCCTCCCCCCTTTCCCCTCCCCCCTCCTCCCTGCAAATGGACAGCTGCACCAATAGTGGATCGGAGTGTAAAAATCTGCTCTCCTTGGATGATGCCATGTTTGCTTTTATCCTTAGCATAATAAGGATTTCAATATGACATTCCAAGTCTTGCACATCTGTACAGTTGAGCTGGTCGGGGTGGCGCTGCGCAGAGGGTCGGCTCCGGTGGTGGTCAGCGCCAGCAGCAGCAGCAGCACCAGCAGCGCACTCGTGACATCCCCTCCCCTCAGCAGCTCCGTGAGTGGTACACTGCACGCCAGAGGGGTGGGGGTACTGGTCCGTGCACCTACGTCCTCCGCACCGGCGACCGCGCGGGTGAGCAGTGCGGGGGTGCGCACTCCACCCAGCGCTGCTTTGGCCGCCTGACGGACGCTTGGCGTCACCAGTTCCCTGAGGCCACTGAGATCCCCCGCTGGGGTGAGCTGTCTAGGGCGGGTGTGGCTGTCTTTGACCTTGACTTTGATGCTATTCTTGCTGCCATGTATACTGTGACTATTAGTGATGAGGGTGACTGTTACCGGTGTTTTCCGCCCGACCCGGGCATTGAGACTGCTGCTCTAGGTACTGGTGAGGCTGCTGCTCTAGGTGCTAGCGAGGCTGCTGCTCTAGGTGCGTCTGCTCCCTCAGGTGCTGGTGAGTCTGCTCTCTCAGGTTCTGCGTCGGCTTCGGCCTCCCACACCTTCACCCTTGACTCGGGGGCTTCTCGCTCCTTCTTTCGAGACCGCACCACACTCACGCCGCTTAGCCGGCCAGTTGCAGTCTCTCTGGCAGACCCCTCTGGGGGTCCTGTCCTTGCTCACTTCTCCACTGTCCTCCCGTGTCCGGCGGCCCCCTCTGGCACCCTGTCTGGTCTTTACCTTCCCTCGTTCTCTACGAACTTGGTGAGTGGTGCTGACCTACAGGATGCGGGGGTTCACCAGTTCACTCCTGCGAGTCGGCGGGTGACCCACTGCACGGACGCTCGGACAGGCCGACACCTGGCCACGTTTACCCGTCGGCCGGGGTCGAGCCTGTACACCCTGACCACTGCGTCTCCTCCAGTCACTGCGTCTGGTCAGGTAGCTGCGTCGGGTCAGGTGTTTGCTGCAGCGTCCAGGTCTGGTCCTGAGTCTGCCCCCTGTTCGTGTCGCCTCCTGTCTCACGAGACTCTCCTCTGGCACCACCACCTTGGTCACCCCTCCCTGCTTTGTCTCCGAAGCATGGCCTCCCGTGTCCTTGTCTCTGGTCTTCCCCGGTCCCTCCCTCCCCTTCCTCCGGGGCCTGGCCCTACCTGCGTCCCCTGTGTCGAGGGGCGGCAGCGGGCTGCCCCTCACTCCTCCCAGTTTCCTCCGACAGAGGCCCCGCTGCAGACGCTTCACATGGACGTGTGGGGCCCGGCCCGCGTCCGTGGACAGGGTCACGAGCGCTACTTCCTGCTGGTGGTTGACGACTACTCGCGTTACACCACAGTCTTCCCCTTGCGCAGCAAGGGTGATGTCACTGAGGTGTTGATCGACTGGATCCGCGCAGCTCGTCTCCAGCTCAGGCAGAGCTTCGGCTCGGACTTTCCTGTTCAGCGTCTGCACTCTGACAGAGGTGGAGAGTTCTCCTCTGGCCTTCTGCGAGCCTACTGTCGTGCACGAGGCATCCGCCAGACCTTCACGCTTCCGGACTCTCCACAGCAAAATGGGATTGCTGAGCGCCGCATTGGCATGGTCATGGACGTCGCCCGTACGTCCATGATGCATGCGGCTGCCCCCCATTTTCTGTGGCCGTTTGCGGTTCGGTACGCGGCGCATCAGATCAACCTTCACCCCAGGGTCTCCATGCCGGAGACCTCCCCAGCTTTGCTGTGGACGGGGAAGGTTGGCGATGCGTCTGCGTTCCGTGTCTGGGGATCTCGGGCGTTTGTCCGCGACTTGTCTGCGGACAAGCTGTCCCCTCGTGCTGCTCCTTGCGTCTTCCTTGGCTTCCCCCCTGACGCGCCAGGGTGGCAGTTCTACCACCCCACCTCTCGCCGTGTCCTGTCCTCTCAGGACGTCACGTTTGACGAGTCGGTCCCCTACTACCGCCACTTCCCCTACCGCACTCCGTCCCTCCCCCCGCCACCGCTCTTCCTTGTCCCAGGTCCCCCCCCGGTAGACCCCCTCCCCCCTCAGGGTCCTGCCCCTTCAGGTGTGTCCCAGGTAGACGCAGTCAAGCCTGTCGAGGTTACTGGTGACTCTGGTGCTGCTGAGGGTGCTGAGCCTGGGGGTGCTGACTCTGGGGGTGCTGAGCGTGTGGGTGCTACTACTGGGGGTGCTGAGCCTGAGGGTGCTGAGCCTGGGGGTACTACTACTGGGGGTGCTGAGCCTGGGGGTGCTGAGCCTGGGAGTGCTACGCCTGGGGGTGCTACGCCTGGAGGTGCTGAGCCTGGGGGTGCGGAGCCTGAGGGAGCTGGGCCTGCTCGTGTGGCGTCTGGCGGTGCTGAGCCTGGAGGTTCTCCGGGTGCTTCGTCTCGGCGGGAGCCACTCTCTCCACAGGAGCTGCGCGAGTGGTTTGCCCGGCGCTGGAGGCATGCTGCTGGAGCTGGAGGTTCTTCGGCTGCTGAGGGTGCTGGTGCCGCGGGTCCCGGAGGTGCTCGTACTGGGAGTACTGGAGCTGCTGGGCCTGCGGGTACGACTGGAGCTGGAGCTGCTGAGGGTGTTGGCGCTGAGGCTACTGCTGTCGGTCCTGGAGGCGGTCCTGCTGGGGGTGCTACTGGTGCTGCTGGAGGTACTGGAGCTGGAGGTGCTGCTGGCGCTGGTGCTGCCGATGGGGGTACTGGTGCTGTCCCTGCTGTGTCTGGAGTCGCCGCGCGGCCTCGGCCGTACTTCGTTCCGCTCCTTCAGCAGGTTCTTGGTCTCCCGCCTTCTACTGGTCCTCCTCCTCCCTTAGCGTGTCCACAGCCTGTCCCGTCACAGTTACAGTTACAGCCGGCCTCCCCACTGCCCGCTCCTTCTCCCTACACTGGTCCTACTGGAGGTCTTGCTGAGCGTCGTGAGCCTGCGTCTCGCCCTGCGTCGCCTGTCCGTGCTGCTCGCACTAGTGCTCGTGGTTCGCGTCAGCGTCCTCCTCCTGTCCCTGGCACGCACCGGATGTCTCTGCGTCCGTCCACTGCTCCTCTGCGTGCCCCTTTGCCTTCTCCTCCTGAGTCCTCTCTTCCTGCTCTTCCTGACCCGGAGTCGGACTCTCTTCGTGCTGCCAGTCCTACTGTCACGCGTCTCCTTGCTACTGTTGTCACTGACCCTTCCTTTGAGTCCACTGCTGCGTCTGCCCTAGTTACTGAGCTCGTCGACTTTGCTGCTCGCTGTCGTCTAGACTACGCTGCTAGTCTTGTTGCTGAGTCTGAGTCTGTCTGTCCTCCGTCCGTCGGGGGTGAGTGTGCCCTTGGCACGGACGTCCTTGAGGACAGGCAGGAGGAGTTCCAGTGTTTGGCTGCTGCTTCACCTCATCTCGTGTCCGTACTGCTTACCCCTGAGGGAGACCCGGATGCACTTGACATCCCGACTCCGCGCTCTTACGCGGAGGCGATAGAGGGTCCCTACTCCTCTCAGTGGCAGGCAGCTATGGACGCAGAGATGGCTTCCTGGAAGTCCACAGGCACCTACGTTGACGAGGTTCCCCCGCCTGGGGCGAACATCGTCAGTGGCATGTGGATTTTCAGGGTGAAGCGGCCGCCGGGTTCTCCGCCTGTCTTCAAGGCGCGTTACGTGGCTCGTGGCTTCAGTCAGCGGCAGGGAGTTGACTACTTTCAGACCTTCTCTCCCACCCCGAAGATGACCACTCTTCGGGTACTGCTGCACATAGCTGCTCACCGCGACTACGAGCTGCACTCTCTTGACTTCAGCACTGCTTTCTTGCAGGGCAGCCTGCACGAGGAGATCTGGCTGCGTCGCCCACCTGGCTTCGCTGGGTCTTTTCCTCCTGGCACCCAGTGGAGCCTCCGGCGGCCAGTCTACGGTCTCCGCCAGGCACCGCGTGAGTGGCACGACACACTGAGGACTACACTTGCGGCTCTTGGGTTTGCTCCCTCTACTGCCGACCCGTCGCTGTTTCTGCGCACCGACACTTCTTTGCAGCCGTTCTACATCCTCGTGTACGTCGACGACTTGGTCTTTGCCACAGCTGACACTGCTGGACTCGCCCACGTGAAGTCCGAGTTGCAGAAGAGACACACGTGCACAGACCTGGGTGAACTGCGCAGCTACCTTGGCTTGCAGATCACCCGGGACAGAGCACGCCGCACCATTACCCTGACTCAGTCACACATGGTGCAGCAGGTCCTTCAGCGCTTCGGCTTCACGTACTCCTCGCCTCAGGCCACTCCTCTGCCTACTCGCCACTCGCTCTCAGCTCTGCCTTCGGATGAGTCCGTAGAGTCGAGTGGCCCGTACCCAGAGCTTGTTGGCTGCCTCATATGTTCTTTCTCCCCATTAGAATTATTACTCTTGCAAATGGATGGATAAATAAACCAAAATAAAACTTGAAAGTGAAATTGGTATTTTGCGCAGCTTTTTTGGAACATAAGGTTTCTCGTTTTGCAATGTGGAGGTGTTATTGGCAGAACAATCAGCGAAAGGGAGTATGGGGGTGTTGATGTGGTCCCATTTCCCGTTTCGTGTGTGTTCCCCCCTTTCCTTCCCCCCAACCCCTTCCCCCCCACTTTTCCTTTCGAGGTTCGCGACATTCACCTTAGATGTTTTCATCGCAACACGACTTACACTCTCGCTAGCCAATTGACTACCAGTACGGAACAAGACAAAACCCGGTTTGACACTGTTCCTAAGATAGTTGCACCGCGGCTTTAAGGAAGGTTCCGTGCCGCTCCCTTCTTCAGGACACCCTCCTA